AACCCTATCGTCGCTCAACACTGCTTGCAAATCGAAAACAACAGCGATACACTATAGGGACAATAAAGGCTCTCCTCCAGAAACACTCAACGCTCTGGCCATGCAGCAGTGTCCGCGAGTTCGCACGACAGGAGAACGTTCCCATAGTCACTCTACGAGGTTGGTTAGCTCGAAGGAGGAGTTTCTCGAATCCAAAAAACACACCAGTAACGCCACTCTGAGTGGCCATGGTCACAGTGAGGCCGTGGACTTCGGGGCCGAACTGGCCAAATTCATTGGTAGCGTCTGCGACCGCGAAAAGTTCCTGACAACACCGCACCTTGTGACATGGCTGAAGACGTATCAGCCAGGATGGCTTGCCGCGCACCTCGAAGAAAATCGCATCCATCACGTGCGTACCAAGCTTTTGCACACCGTCATGGTTTCTCGCAGCGCGTACCCTCCGCGTCCAAAAGGACACAAGTCAACTTGCAAGCCACGCGTGTTGACTACGCTCGCTCATTCCGGGCAAGGTTCAGTGCCTACGACCTGGGGAACATCATTAATATCGACGAAACCGGAGTTCATTAGGACATGCCACCACGTCGTATATGGGTTCGGGTTGGGGAGACGGCCGAAGTTGACAGCCAGCAGAAGCACTCTGACAGGGTAACCGCAGTCCTCGCAGTACGCGCAGATGGTGAGATTGAACACATCACCCGTACTTACGTGTCGTCTAGGCCGGAAGTTGCCGCCTTGCATTATCGTGCATGGTCTGCCTGGTGGCCCGGTAGAACGAGTTGCCGACATATCCACGCGACGCAATCTACGCTGTCCAGGAGAATGCATGGATGGATGAGGGAGTATGGGACATGTACCTGCGCGAACTTTTGCAGTTCGAGATCGAAGCACCGTCTGTCGTGGTGGTTGATAATCTGTCGGCGCACCTGCGGCGTGCGATTTTGTCCGTGGAAACATCTACAGTGTGCTGGAAGAATTGCCGGCAAACGCAAAAGTGCTGTTCAGCCGCTTGATGTCGGTGTGATGGGGCCCTTTAAGGCCAAGTGTCGTGTCGCACTGAGTGGCTGCATGAGGTTGAGGTTACAACAGCTGCAGAGAAACTGTTGGCGATGGTGAAGCGAATTTTGAAAGTATAGGTTTCTACAGCACCAGGGACGTTCGAGAAAGCTATTCCTCGTGAGGAGTCGTAATACACTTTGTCGGTTGTGTTTTCGTCGTTGGAGGTTTCCAGG